AAAAAGGAAGAGGAAAAGAAAAGAGGGGGTAAGCCCACGGACTCTCCGTCTTTCGACATCCTGTCGTAGAACCCCTATTGACCCTGTACCCATTTTTCGTGCCCCATGACGACCCCCCCCCTCGCGATGACCTTTCCTCGCCAAGAACATCTTGAGATTTTAATCTCCGATCTCCTGCTTGCATGCGTGCCATCATTTTCGATCTCTCTCAAAGAGAGAGCGTCCAGACGAGCCAGCTTATGCAGAGAGAGAGAGAGAGAGAGAGAGAGAGAGAGAGAGAGAGAGAGAGAGATGACGTTGCCGACGGAAAGAAGAAGCGGGATTGGCAAAAGGAGTAGGGGGTAAAGGTGGTTTCATTTTTTTCTTTCTTTTTATTACAGTAATTCCGATTTCGCTTCACCATCCTCCTTCCTGTCTATCTTCCTTTTCAATGTCTTTCTCGTCCATTTGTTTCTTCTGTTGCCCTCGTCCACGTTGTCCTTGTCTCCGTTTGCTTCTCCTCTTCCACCTCAGCCTCTGAATATGTCCTGTTCCATCTGGAAGCTACGGATGCCAATGTCCTTTCTACCTCAAGGAGAGCACGGGAAAGGAAGGGTAATGGAGAAGCGATGATGATTCCAAAGTTAGGATGGGAGGACGAAGAGGAGAGAGAGAAGGGAGAGGGGAGAGGGGAGGGATGAATTGAGGACGAGGACAACGAGAGGGGCAGAGGAAGATGAGGAAGATGAGGATGCTGACGTGAAGAAGATGGAGGAGAAGAGGGGGAGGAGGAGGAGGTTATCACGAATGGGGTGGTTTGGGCCAATTTTTCTCCGAAACTGCCGTACGTCCCTGAATTTTTATTTTTTTATTTTATTTTTATTTTTTTGGTAGTGTGACATGTATGTGCTTTAGGGTATATATTTGTATTTTGTTTTCAGCTTCAACGTATTTGGACCAGTAACGAAAAAATTGGCGAAAAATTGGCGAAAATTTGGCGAAAAATTGGCGAAAAATTGGCGAAAAAGAAAAATACCGAATTCGGAGAAAATCTGACGAACTCCGAAAGCTTCTCCGAATAGGGTTTTATACTATTTATAGTACTTTTGAGTGTTTTTTTTTTTTGTCTTTTTTTTTTTTGCCTGTTTTGTTTTTGTATGTTTGTATTATGAGCCTGCATTTTTAGTTTGGGAAATTGTCGGCGACATTGCTTGTGGTGATGCGGCAATAAACCCCCGAATTTTGGGCCTTCCATTAATTAACCAATCTCTCCAGCCGAGGCAGAAGGATGAAGTAAAGGGGAGGAGGATGATGTGGAGGAAAAGAAACATGAAGGAGAGGAAAGATGATGAGGAGGGAGGAGGGCAACACAAAACAGAAAACGAAACGGGGCATGAGGAAAGAGAAAGATAAACGACATCGGCATAGCCTCCTCATGACTGGCACATGAGGAGATAGAGAGAAAGCGCCGCGGGGCCTATGCGTTGATTGATTGATTGATTGATTGATCGATTAAAAAAAAAAAAAGATCAGTGGGTTCTCCTTTTTTGTTTTTGTTTTTCAATCAATCAATCAATTAATCAATCAACCAATATATTTCCATGTTCTAGCGGAAGATTCATTCGATTTTGCTCATCCTATCCATGTAAGTAGTGTGAGGCCAGCCACGAGGTTGGAGACTTACCTGTTCTCTCTCTCTCTCTCTCACACACACACACTAAAGGAAAAAAAAAGTGGCAGTGTATATTTCCATGTTCTAGCGGAAGATTCATTCGGACTTTGCTCATCCTATCGATGGAAGTAGCCTCTCTCTATCTCTCGGCGCGCCTCTCTCTATCTCTCTGCGTGAGAACTCTCTCTCTCTCTCTCTCACACACACACGTGCGTGCAGTAGTGTATATTTCCATGTTCTAGAGGAACTTTGCTCATTCCGTCCATGGAAGTAGCGTGACCAGCCGCGAGGTTGGAGACTTACCTGTTGGCTGGTGTGGTGCTCATCATATGGATGGAACTCTCTCTCTCTCTCTCTCTCTCTCTCTCTCTCTCTCTCTCTCTCTCTCTCTCTCTCTCACACACACACAAAAAAAAAATAAAAAAATAAAAAAAATGTGGCAGTGTATATTTCCATGCTCTAGCGGTAGATTACACACACACACACACACACACACACACACAAAGAAGTGTGGCAGTGTATATTTCCATGTTCTAGCGGTAGATTCATTCGATTTTGCTCAGCCTTTCGATGGAAGTACCATGAGGCCATTCGCGAGGTTGGAGACTTACCTGTTCTCTCTCTCTCTCTCTCTCTCTCTCTCTCTCTCTCTCTCTCTCTCTCACACACACACACACACACAAAAAAAAAAAAATAATAAAAAAAAAATAAATAAATAAAAAATTGTGGTGGTGTATATTTCCATGTTCTGGCTGAAGATTCATTCCGATTTTGCTCATCCTACACATACAGACACAGAGACCGACATTGCCACGCTTCACCAAATGAGCACAATGGGATTGAATCTTCCCCTAGAACATGGAAGTATCCACTGCCACAACATGGAAATATACACTGCCAGAGACCAAAAATGCGGCAGTGTATACTTCCATGTTCTAGCGACAGATTCATTCCCATTTTGCTTATCCTATGGATGGAAATCTCTCTCTCTCTCGGCAACATTTGCATCTGACAGCTCCTTAGTCCATACTCACACCGGGATTTCTTTTCAATGTATCTTGTCCGTCGTGGTGTATCTTCCTATGTTCTTGCGGAAGATTCCTTCTCATTTTGCACAATGGCAGGCTGCTCAGTCGATGCACACATGAAACTGTTGAATTGCAGACGTGAGTTCGAATCCAGTGGCAACCACAATAAAATAGTTCTGATTTACAAAGCATCCGACGGTGTGCTGATGCCGTGGCCGATTCCCCCCCCCAAATGCTGCACGTCTCTCATGTTCCAAAACAAACACCCTCAATGTCGCCCGGGCCACATAATGGCTGGCCTGCCTGCCGTGCCTGCCTGGGGTGAGCCTGGCGCGGGGCCGCGGCGAGTTCACTTGTGTGTCCATTCGATAATTTGTGCATTACGGTAGTTGGTTATACCTGCAATTTTGTGGTACCAACCTGACTCCGCCTCAGTCCTGGCCATGCAAATAATTTCCACCGGCAGTTTTCCTGGTATAGGTGCAAGTTGGCGCTGGGACTCCATCTGTAAACCGCCAGTACACGGCCCCAGCCTTGCTGAAAAGAAAACTCGTCGCCTATGGAATTTTTGGAGGCCTGCGGCGGGCAGCCTCCGGAAAGGGCCCGCGACCGATAGCTGGATGTACTGGTGGTTTAAGTGCGGTACAGATGCAATTTTTCCCTTTTTTTCTCTTGGCCCTGCTGGGCAAGTCGTCCCGGGCGTAAGTCTCTGTGGGACTCGGTTGTTGGCGCTAGCAAGTCTCTGTGGGACTCAGTTGTTGGAGAAGATGCCAGTGTTATTATTATCATTATGCCCAAGGACGCTATCAGAACTGTATGATGCCGCACTGTTATGAACGTCCTGCTGTTTTTTTGACATGTGGACAACATGTCCTCTGTCAGGACTGTTTTGATGGGATGGTTCGTGCTAACCGTCCTGCTGAATGCTGTGCTGGCGCAGCTCTCCTTGGGCATCCTTGTGAACATCCACATCATCCTCACCGTAGCTGTCCTTTCTGCCGAGGTGGGGACAGGTAAAGAAAAAAAGAAGAAAAGAAAAAGAGAAAAAAAGAAAAAAAGAGAAAATAAGAAAAAAAGAAAAAAAGAAAAAAGAAAAGATTTGTTGATCTGTGGGTTGTGTTATTTGTCCTGTGACAATTGGATTATCTTTCTTTCCCTGTCAGGTTTGGTTTCCTCCTCCTTTTCTTTACCTCTTTGCCCTTTGGCTGCGTGCAAGTGGGTCCTTGTGACACACGGGGATGAGGGCAGCCAGCACTCAACCTGTCATCCACGTGGCTGGCCTTGTACGTAAGAGGTGGTGAACAGGTGGGCTTTCCTTCCTTCCTTCTTTTCCTTTCCTTGTTTTGCTTTTTTCTGCCTTCGCGCTCTGATTTACAGTGTGACAATATATATTGTCACAAGAATATCAGAGCGCAAATGCGAAAAAAAGAAAAAAAGAAAAAAAGAAAAAAAGAAAAAAAGAAAAAAAGAAAAAAAAACAGGAAAAAATCATAAAATGAATTCAGTTTTTTATCTTCTTCCTTGTAACTCACCCTGTTCAGAACCTCTTGCGTTTGTTTTTTGGCATCCTTGTATGCATACCCGTTGGTTTTATCCCGTTGTTGGGTCTATTTGGTGACCGTAGCGGTGGTTTCATGTGGGACCAGTCATCCCCTTTTTTTTTTGTTTTTTTTTTCGGTTCGGCCTATGAGAGCATCAATGGTTTAGGAAAAGGAATACCAACATCTTGATGACGAACTAGGCCATCTGCTGTATATAGATATGTATTTGGGATTTCTGTTTTTGCAGGCAAGAGTGTTTTGATATCCTGGTTGGTCTTGTCCCATCGTTTGGCCTATGGTGAAGTTGGGGGCGGTGCTTACATGTAGGGATTGTCATCCAGGATCTTGTTGCCCCCTGTTTTGTTATATTTGGCTGTTCCCTTCCTCTTTTCTTTGCCTCTTTGCCTTTTTTTGGCTGTGTGCAAGTGGGTCGATATGACACACGGGGGTGGGGGCAGCCGCCGCCCCTCAACCTACACCTAGGTGGGTGGCCTTGTACGCAAAAGAGGTTTTGAACAGGGGGAGTTGTAATGAAGAAGACAAAAAATGAATCGATATCTTTCTTGTTTCCTTTTGTTGTTGTTGTTTTTGCTTTGGCGCTCTGATGACTTTGTGACGATATATATCCTGTGATTTTGACAAGTCGGTACTGCATTCATGTGTTCCTCTCTCCTGATGCCACCTGCCAGCATAGTGTTTGTCGTCAATGACGGAATGCTAGTCCGTGAATAACAACTGCCTGGTCTCGTGTGCGTCTCATGTGTGTTCGATGAAGACACTGAGAATGTAAATGCGGAGAGAAAAAAATGGAAAGAGGAAGAACCTTTGAGGGGAGCTGAGAGATCATGCACGCGTGTGTGTGAACCAATCTGTGGAGACATCGAGAAAAGGAGGGCTGTAACTATAACCACTACTTGAAGTTGCTGAGGCTTGCTTTCCCTGCGGTCCATTGCCTGGAGGGTAGAGAGAATTCTTCGGGGGGAAAGGGGCAAGAGAAGAGGCGGGGGGGGGGGGGGGGGGGGGGGGGGGGGCGGCGAAGGGGCCAGGCAAAAGAAAGACTCGGCCAACATGAAGGTTCGGTCGTCTGTGAAGAAGCTTTGCGAATTCTGTCGCGTTGTGCGACGGAATGGGCGAGTGTATGTCATTTGTTCAAAGGACCGAAAGCACAAACAGAGGCAAGGGTTCTTTACGGAGGTAGCAACAGCCTTGGGAATAGCGTCAGACCCATCGAAAGCCGAGATCGTGGCACCACAGGTTTCAGTCACAGGCAGAAGGTGGGATACCTCTACCCTTCTTCTCCGTACTCTTCCATGAAATGCAATGAATGTCATTTTCCGCCAGCCAAGCAATAGGTTGCACTGTGTGTTCATCCTTGGAGACAAAAAAAACGGAAACAAACAAACAAAAAAAAGTGAGATGGTCACGAAGTAACAATCACATGGCTGAAACGCTGAAACGACAGTGTGCATCAGAGGTTCTGAGAAAGAGCAAAATAGTAAAAAGATCAATAATTATTTTTTATTTATTTCGTCGTCTTATATATTAAAAACCTAAAACAATAAAAAATTGAAAACTACAAAATTCATGGGACAAAAAATACATCCACTTGGTTTCCGGCTTGGCTTCATACAACAGCATTATTCTCATTGGTTTGCAAAATCTTCTTTCCTTTTGTTTTTTCCTTTTTTTTTTGGGACCGTTTCCCGATTTACGCGTGTCATCCTTACTTGCGCAGGGGCCATGTTAATCTTCTTTCTCTGTATCGTTCCAATTTTTACGGATATGTCCCGAAGGACGCAAAATCAGATTTCTATTCAGAATTGCTGTCAAGAAGATAAACGATCCAAGTTCAATGGCGTATCCAAACCAACTGAGTTCAATTGCGTATCCAAGGGGAGAGGAGAGGAGAGGAGAGGAGAGGAGAGTGTGAACGAGAAAGGGGAGAGTTAATACCTGGCAGGGAAACTGGAAGCAGGGCAGGGCTGAACCAACCACAACCACCCATGCTCAATGTTATGTGAGTGTACCTTCATCCATCCCTCTCATCCGTTTCTAGGCGCTCCATCCCTTCATGTTATGTATATGGGGGAGAGGGATGGAGCTCATAGAAACAGTGGGTGGGAAAAACTCAGATCAGAGTATGTTCCACTCCGTCGATGCAAACGGCCACAATATACCTACCTCCTCACATCGGCTAAGCAGTCAATCCCACCCTCGCACGGCTGCTGCATTACTCTCTCTCTCTCTCTCTCTCTCTCTCTCTCTCTCTCTCTCTCTCTCTCTCTCTCT